CCTTAAAATGTACCTATGAAATAAGGATTAAAATAAAACCTCTATTTTCCCAGAACTTATTAAATATGTAGATGAAAAAATATTATCTACAAGATAATAGTGTGATCAGAAACATGTTAGGAAGAACTCAGTAATGTAGGTTAAAAGAGCCCTGAACGCATATGTATATATGTGCTGTGCTAAGTCGCTTCTGTCGGGTCCAACTCTGCACAACCCTATATGGACTGTAGCCGCTAGGCTCCTGTCCATGGGATTCTCCAGGCAAGAATACTGGAGTGGGTTTCTGTGCGACCCCATATGGAATGCAGCCCACCAGGTTCCTCTGTCCATGGGATTCTCCAGGCAAGAATACTGGAGTGGGTTGTCGGGCCCTGCTCCAGGGGATCTTCCCAACCCACCAGAGTTTGTTACCTCTAACCTGCACTGGAGGCGGGTTCTTTACCATTAGCGCCACATGGGAAGCCCATATGTATATATGTGTTTCAATTTTAGCCAAAACTAGAGTTCTCTGCACCTTTTTATTCATTTCAATTGACAAAAATTGAGATATTAACTCTCACTTCCAGATGAATAACTCACCCTTTCAGCACACTCCAAAGAAAGAGTATGGATCAATGTGTTAAGAAAACATATAAAAGCAATAAGAATATCTAAATCATACCATAAATCAGAGAAGACTGCCAAAGAAAGCTATACTCAAAAGCTCAAATTTGAAGGCTGAGGATGAATTAGGTAAATGCCAAGAACTAGGAGCCAAAAGACGGCATTTCCCCCTCCTTTTCAGATGTGATGTTTACAATAAAACTATTAAAATATTCCTCTCTGAATCCCTATCATGTGACAAATTTTTACACCAACCTCAAAGCCCTGAAATATTTTCATACCTATATTTTATTTCAGTAGCCAAACTCTTACCCCACTTTGCACCAAAAAAATAAAAATCCTGACGTATTAAGATTCAAATACAATTATTTGAATATAAGTACCAGAATATAAGTATAAATATAAATATAAGTACCAGAAGAAAATATAGAAATTGTTTTTTGATAAAGGTAAAATGGAAAAGATACTCTTAAACAAAGGATTAATATCTACTATGTGTAAAGAGCTTCTGCAATTCAATAAAGAAGTATAGATTAGTATAACCTTTTCGGAAGGAAATTTGTCATCTATTAAAACGCACACTTAAGAATCCTTTTTATGGAAATACTTCTATACATATGCATGTGCACAAAGATATAAGTAAGTTCACTAAGGCTCCACTTTTAGTTGCCCAAAATTGGAAGTAACAAATAACCATAAATAATTAAGTACAAGAAAAGAATACAATATTGCATGACCATTAAAAACATGAGGTATAACAAGTACTGAGATGGAAAAGAATTTATAACAATTAGATTTTTGATTAAAAAAAATCAAGGTAAGATTACATACACTGCTTATTTCTAACTGCATAGAAGAAAACAAAATTGCTAACAGTGCGTACCTGTAAGGAATGCGACTAGAAAGTAAGGAAAGTAATATTCACTTTTTACTCTAAATAACTTACTTGAATCTTTTGTGATAGCATGAACTGACTACCTTTGAAATTTAATTTTAAAATCAGGGGGAAAAACTCATTATTCTAATCTGTTATAATTATGGTTATCTCTAAGGGCTAAATGATTTTTGTACAGTAATTTTTGTCCTGTTTCTTAACAGTTTACTTTCTAAATTTTCTATGAGAAATACAACTCTTTTAAAATCTGAGAAATATGTATTTAAAAACCTATATTTGATTTCATTACTGAAACTTTTTTTTTCCTGAAAAGTAATTTTTAACAGTTATGGTCTCAAAAACGTGGTCCTGAGATTCCAACCACTTTCTGAAAGCAGTCTTTTTTTTTTTTTTATAAAGCAGCCTTAAATCTAAGTTTCTAGGTAGAACATCTGTTGCCGAAGCAATTAAATATAAAACACATTTTAGAATGGAATATTAACTAACACTTATTAATCATGTAAGCACAGCATTTGTTAAGTAATTTTCCCTGTATTATCTCATTTGCTCCAAATAGCCTTATGAAATTTATATTATACTGTTATTATTATTAATCCTCATCTTATAGACTGAAAAAATCAAGTCTGAAAAGAATGTGTATCTTGTCCAGAGTGAAGTGCAAGAGCTAGGATTCAAACCCAGGTCTCCAGCTCCTAACCACTTTTGATAGCTGGAATGACAAGTACTAATGTACCTTAGAGATAATACACTAGACCTCTGAAATGTGGCCTGAACATTCAGACTGATTATTCTTATTCAGGTTAGGGATCCTAAAATGAAGAAGTGGTGACACTCAATTCTTATCACAGAAGAAAACAGTATTTTTCAAGGCAACAAGGGATATTTTTTCCCTTTTTTTTTTTTTTGCATCTCTTTCTGCTTCTACCAAGGTACAAGAAGGATACAAAGGACAACTCAGATTGGCGAGTAACTTAACACCCTCCTTGATTAGTCTGGAATTAGCCCTGTAACTAACTGCAAGAGCTTTTAAAAACAAATTGATCAGAATCCCAAAGCCTTAAAGACTTGAAAACAAGGTACAGTTTCACATTTTAATCAAAAATAGAAAATTCAGAAAGCCAAAAGAAATGTTATAATCAAATACTAGAATAATCAATATAGACAGATTAAACATAGGAAGAATTTAACGGTATCTACCTATTTTATCCCAAGCTATTTGAACAAGGTCTCTCTCTTCTAAAAAAGAATAGAGAACTTCCCTGGTGGTCCAAGGGTAAAGAATCCACCTGCCAAGGGAGGGGACACAGGTTCCATCCCTGGTCCAGGAAGATTCCATATGCCTCAGGGTAACTAAGTCGGCTAGCCACAACTACTGAAGCCCCCTTGCTCCTCAACAATGAGAAGCCTGCGTACCTCAACTAGAGAGTAGCCCCCACTCACTGAACTAGAGAAAGCCCAACTGCAGCAATGAAGACACAACACAGCCAAAAAAAAAAGAGTAACAGAAAGTTTATCCCAGCTACACGAACAAGTTCCAAGTTTTCTCTTAGAAAAAAAAAAAAAAAAAACTATAATTGAAAAGATACCTACACCACTGCTAACCATGTCTGCTTGGAAATCCGCCCACCATAAAGACTAGAGACTCATAGGAAGCCCTATCCATTTGTTTAGTAGACATTCTATAATCACAACTTCATGAATTTGGGTTTGCAAGGTTAGCATTTAATGTCAAAAGTCCAGAAGAATAATTCTGAATAATTGTAAACTGGAATCAGGGCCCTAAGAGAAGCAGAATACTCAGAACTCTTCCTCAGTGAAAGTATCTGCTTATAGAAAGCACTGGCAGAGAAGCTGACATCAACACATCTACTTGCACACTCCAACATTTCTAGACCTTAACCCCTTAGGCCAAGAAGACCTCTCAATGAATTAAGGACAACTGACGCTACCAGAATGACAGTCCTGAAAAAACACTAAATTTAGGTCAAACTCTTTCACCAAAACCTGAAAGTGGGTTTAAGACCTACATATGTTACAGGTCAGAAACATTTTAAGGTTCATTTTTCATAATGTAAGTCTATTGTTTCTGGCTAGTTAAAACTAGAAAGATAGAAAAACTAAGGATTTAAGAGTTGCCTTAAATCAATACCTTTAAGAGGAGAACATGAACAAACGTTTCACTTAGATATGTATTTTCTCATAGATACACACAAAATACATAGAAGGGATTATGAGTGTGATTTACAAAAGCCACGGAGCTCCTGGAAAAGTTGACAAGTTCCAACCTGCTTTAAAAATTGCCATTCACGTCCTCATCCCAATCTAACTTTATTCAATGTTATTCTTGTGAACAACCGTACAACAACAAAACCCCCAGAGCAAATTCTTCTACACTTCAATATCCTGCCTACTTGCAAGAGCGGAAGAGTCAAACAGAGCAGGGGAAAAAACGTGACGTGAACAACCTTGATCCAAAACACAGCTCGTGGGAGTCTAATTTTAGGCCTAACCATTTTGATTGTCTTTTTACAGAGGTTGAAAAAGAAAACAAAAAAACACAGATCACTTGTAAAATAAATCTGATAACTAAACCAATAGGGGTTGGCATTATTTATCAAGGAGGAAAGAAATCACGTTCGCACTGCCCAGAGTATTCCCATTAAAGATAAGATACAAGGGCCGGTAGTACAACCCTACAATAACTGACGACAACGGCAATTGCTTTCCACTCTTCAGCTCTTGGATGACTCTATCTTTAAAGAATGAGTCAAAAGGTTGAGCCCACTGAGGAATATTCGACAACGTTCTCTGTGTGTGTGTTGTTTTAAAGAAAGCCAAACATGGTGAAAGTCAACCTTCAACTAAGTTACCTAAAGAAGCAAATATTCACCTCCTGGCTGATGATCAAACAGGAATCACGAGAAGACCCGAAAGTTCTGTTTTTGAACGGAGGCCCTCAAACCCTCGGAAAACTATTCGTTTTCTACTGATGCGGAATATGGAAGAGATCACAGATTGCAATTTAGAAAAGAATGAAGCGGCTCTAGACAATGTGCCTCGGTAAAGAAACTGTGATGACCAGAGATAAGGAGGAGCTGGGACTCTGTAAGAGACGAAAAATCAAGGAATAAAACCCGAAACGTTTCGTCGAACACTAAAGTAAATGAAGAAAAGGCGGCTGAAACGCGAGGTAAGGAAGATCAACAGAGGGCAGAGTCGGTGGCGCGACAGGGTTCAGGGCAGGGCCGGGTCCAGGAAGAGTTAGATCTCACCAGCCCAGCAAGCTTCCCATTTCAGGCTAGAGCCGGAGAAGAAAACAGCCCGAGGGCGCAGACAATGAGCCACCGCCCCAAGAGTTGCGGCTCCAGGCACGCAGGTGGCGGCTTCCCGGGCCCGCGAGGGGTTAGGTCAGCTGCCCCGGGCCGCTCGCGCCGGCCAGGCCGCGTAGAAGCGAGGAGGAATGAGAGCGACGGCCCGCGTCCCGGCCTGTCGGCACACTTACCCTAAGCGAGGAAAGGTCCCCGCCCCAGCGAGGAGCCTCCGGCCGAGCTCCCGGCGGGCTCCGGAGCCGCCCCGAGCAAGCGCGCGACGCGGGGCGGGGAGGGGAGGGAAGGGGAAGCGGGGCGGGAAGAGGGGCCGCGCTGGAGCGCAGCCGCTGCTACTGCTAGGCCAGGCGGCAGCGGAGCCCCGCGGGCGCCGGGAGGGGAGGGCAGGGAGCCTTCGGCAATGGCGACGGCCCAGGCCAGAGGGGAAGCGGAACAACCACCGCTGCTGCGCGTGGCCACAACCCTGGGGGAGGGCGACGGCGGGGACCGGAGAGGGGCGGGACCGAAGCCCGAGCTCCACTGGGCGGAGACGGGTACCACCTCCCAGTGGGCGAGTTCATGCGGGGCCTGCCGGGAGTTGTAGTTTAGAGATGTGTTCCACGTCTCTCTCCCACTTGCTCTTTTTTGGGGGTATTCTCTATATTGAGAGAGACCGCCAGTACCTCATGTAGTTCAGCATTGTCTCCAGTCAGGTCTGTGCCAACCAAAGATGCTGAAAGACGATTTTTGTTACATGAACCTGCTCCAGGACATGTGTTTCTGAGAATTCATCCACTATCCATTTTGCTTTATGCCTACAACTCAATGTACTTTGGTGCTAATTAAGGCCCACCTCCTTGCAAATTAAGGCCTCTATGTTTTATCTACAGAGGAGTTTCTCAATGTATTCATTCTATTCAGTTCAGTCGCTCAGTGATGTCTGACACTTTGCAACCCCATGGACTACAGCATGCCAGGCCTCCCTGTCCATCACCAATTCCTGGAGCTTACTCAATCTCATGTCCATAGAGTTGGTGATGCCGTCCAACCATATCATCCTCTGTCCTCCCATTCTCCTCCTGCCCTCAATCTTTCCCAGCATTGGGGTCTTTTCAAATGAGTCAGCTCTTTGCATCAGGTGGCCAAAGTATTGGAGTTTCAGCTTCAGCATCAGTCCTTCCAATGAACACCCAGGACTGATCTCCTTTAGGATGGACTAGTTGGATCTCCTTGCAGTCCAAAGGACTCTCAAGAGTCTTCTCCAACACCACAGTTCAGAAGCATCAATTCTTCAGCACTCAATCCTCTTTATAGTCCAACTCTCACATCCATACATGACCACTGGAAAACCCAGAGCCTTAACTAGATGGACCTTTGTTGACAAAGTAATGTCTCTGCTTTTTAATATGCTGTCTAGGTTGGTCATAACTTTCCTTCCAAGGAGTAAGCATCTTTTAATTTCATGGCTACAATCACCATCTGCAGTGATTTTGGAGCCCAGAAAAATAAAGTCAGCCACTGTTTCCACTGTTTCCCCATCTATTTGCCATGAAGTGATGGGACCAGATGCCATGATCTTTGTTTTCTGAATGTTAAGCTTTAAGCCAACTTTTTCACTCTCCTCTTTCACTTTCAAGAGGCTCTTTTAGTTCTTCTTCACTTTCTGCCATAAGGGGGGTGTCATCTGCATATCTGAGGTTATTGATAGTTCTCCTGGCAATCTTGATTCCAGCTTGTGCTTCATCCAGCCCAGCGTTTCTCATGATGTAGTCTGCATATAAGTTAAATAAGCAGGGTGATAATATACAGCCTTGACGTACTCCTTTTCCTATTTGGAACCAGTCTGTTGTTCCATGTCCAGTTCTAACTGTTGCTTCCTGATCTGCATACAGGTTTCTCAAGAGGCAGGTCAGGTGGTCTGGTATTCCCATCTCTTTCAGAATTTTCCATAGTTTATTGTGATCCACAGGCTTTGGCATAGTTAATAAAGCAGAAATAGATGTTTTTCTGGAACTCTCTTGCTTTTTCGATGATCCAGAGGATGTTGGCAATTTGATCTCTGTGCTCTGTGACAACTAGAGGGGTAGTATCGGGTGGGAGATAGGAGCAGGGTTTAGGAGGGAGAGAACATGTATATACCTGTGGCTGATTCATGTTTATACATGGCAGAAGTCAAAACAATATTATAAAGCAGTCATCCTCTAATTAAAACAGAGAGAGAAATACCTCTGATGGGTTTCCAAACTTCACATTCAACCCAGAGGAGGAGCAAGAAACCAAAGTAGTAACCAAGTCAACGAAGCCTGTTGTGTTTTGTGTTGTGTTGTGTTGCGTTGTGTTGAAAGATCCTACTTACCCCAAATCTCTATGGTTTTCCTGGATGCCCAGGAGACAAGAGACCAAAGACAAAGCTATAAGCCTGTAGAAAGAGCTGGGACTATAATCCTGCACAAGGCTGGAAAATTCAGATGACTATACCTTCTGAGAATAGAGTAGGAGAAAAAAATCCCCTGTACCAACCCAGGCCAATATGTGGAAATATTTTAGCCTGGATTTTGGCATCAAGGGGAAAAAAACTTTTCCTTTAGAATTCATAGCCACAAGTTTTCCCTCACATAGGTCTGAAAGTTCAAATTTATAGTACCTACACTGTCCAGGAAACCTCAAGTCAAGTAAGTCTCCTAGGCTGGTAACACTTGGAGGTCTAGAAGAAACAAATACATATCCTTATTGCACAGGGTCACTCTCAACACAGGACTGAAAGGGTTTCCACAGATAAACAGGCTATCAAAAGGTACACATGAGCACCCAAAATAATACTACATCTGAGAAAATAAGCCAGGAATGAATCAACAGAAACCACAAAGAGAATAATGAAGCTCATGAAGTTTAGATTTTGGAATTATTTATTACAGAATATAACATAAGTTTATTAAAATGATTAAGCAAAGTAAGACAGGAGCAAGAAACAAGATACTGTTTTTAAAAAAATCACCAAGCAACTCTGAAAAGAAGTCAAGTAAAACTTCTAGAAATAAAAAATATAACTAAAACCAAAGCCAATGTCTGGATTAAATAGTAGATTACACACAGTTAAAGAGAGAATTAATAAACTGAAAGACAGATCTAAAGAAATTACTGATAGCAACCCAAAGAGAAAGGAAATATGAAAGGAAAGTTGAGAGACATGGGGATAGATTGTGCAGGTATACCGTATGCATAATGAGAAAAAAAGAAAAAACAAAAGCAGTATATGATGAGATAATGGCTTGGAATTTTCCAGAATTGATTAACGACAAGACCCTTCAGATTCAGGAAGCAAAGTAAATCCCAAACAAGTAAAGGAAATCTCAAACACATCAAAGTGAAACTGCAGAATAACAAAGATAAAGAAACCAGAAAGAAAAGACATCCCCGGCAAAGAAACAACTATTAAATTTAGCATAGATTTCTCAACTGCAACAGTGTGTGCCATCTCACAATGGAAAAATATTTTCAAACTACCAAAAGAAAGTAGCTGAACTTCGAAGTACATACATTGTTAAATTATTAGTAACAAAAGTGAGGGTGAAATAAATATATCATCAAGTAAAAACAGAGATATCACAAACCACAGAGATGTTACAAACCAGAGAGACCTACTAAAGGAACATCTTAAAAAGATACACTTCAGGAGGAAGGTAATCCCAGAAGTAAGGTGCAAGAAATCAGATAGATAGTTAAACCTACTAATACATCATGGACTAGGACAATCCTCTATATTTTTTCACTCTCTCACAGCCTACCACATCTTATATTCAACTACCTGCTGGTAGTATATAAATTTGATGGATAATACAGATAGGTGTGGGGCTTCCCAGGTGGCACAGTGGTAAAGAATCTGCCTGCCAAGGCAGGAGATGCAGGAAATTCGGGTTCAATCCCTGGGTCAGGAAGATCCCCTGGAGAGGGAAATGGCAACCCACTCCAGTATTCTTGCCTGGGAAATCCCATGGACAGTGGAGCCTGGCAGGCTCTATGGGGTTGCAATGAGTGGGACATGACCGAGCATGCATGCACAGATAGGTGTTAGTCACTTCACCTTACATCCTTTATCTTCACATCATTATCAATTAGCACAAATCATCAAAATACAGATGAGTAACATGAGATGAATAGACTATTTGCCTAGAGTAATCCTTAAATTCATTACATTCTGAAATCATTACAGCATAAATAAATCTTCTCAGTTCGCAAGTCATGAATGTACTATCCTCCATTAGATCTAACTAAATAATCTAAGTTCCTACTAGAGGGGCTGAAAGGCACACACACACAAAACAATCTCTACCACACCACCACACTTAGTTGAGGTAATCTTTGTTATTTTCACCCAGAGAACATTACATGATACTTTATTCCCTAGTAGCTTAGATGGTAAAGCATCTGCCTACAATGCGGGAGACCCGGGTTCAATCCCTGGGTTGGGAAGATCCCCTGGAGAAGGAAATGGCAACCCACTCCAGTATTCTTGCCTGGAAAATCCCAAGGACTGAGGATCCTGGTAGGCTACAGTCCATGGGGTCGCATTGGACACGACTGAGCGACTTCACTTCACTTTTAAGAAAATAAACCATACAAGTGGAACAATACTGGAACACAATGACCAGGAGAATAGTACCTGTTTTCTTTGAGAAACTGATTTAAAAAGTAAAGTGACAGTCACTTTTTAAGTAATCCAAAGAAGACAATATAAAAATTTCAAAATGCTCTGTTGCATCAAAGTGATATCATCTGCCAGCATTTATCAGACAAAAAAACTCATAGTAAAGTGTCTTCACTCACATTCACACTTTGTTACACTTCTGAATACCCATATAAATGAAAAAATGGCTGAATCATATCCCTAGCCACCATTTCAAATATTAACTGAAATGAAAACACTTAAATACTGAGGAACTTGGCTTTGATGTGCAAAAGAAAATGACTATTACATATATACACATACATAGAAACACACTTAAGAGGTTAAACAGTACCGTGTCCCCCACCTGACTAACCGTATTCCAAAATGGTGTTAATGGTACTGAATTTTAACTAATATATAAATTTCTATTTAAATGCCACTATGTTAATCCCACTGAGAAAAAAATACCTGGATACATGTTAACATGGCAAATTAGAAAATATTTATTCCCATTAAAAAATACCAGAATGTTTTAGGAAATTAACCAGTGATAGCATATATAAAGTATATCATATCCCATTATACTATACAAAACATACCCTAGTTTATTGGCTTCTGTTTTGGAAGATGCTTGCCCTTTTATTTCTTAATTAGCTTATGCATTTGCTTTATTTTCTAATTTCTTCCAAAGAAAAACAATAAACCAAGACCTTTTGT